AAAAAAATATATATTATTTTATGATAAACACTGAATAATCAGTAATGTAATTTATTTAATTTATTTTAGATGTAGATTATATACTATGTATAGTTTGAATTATACACCAACAACTTTGGGGGTACAAAGTTGAAGAGAAATTATATTTTGGGGTACGCGAACAAAAAAGGTTGAATACCACTGCTTTAGAGGACAGACTGTGAACATTTAAACGGACTGTATAAAAGGAAAAAGAGGAAAATTATCATTACTGCAGACATTAACCGTTAAAATATATCCAAAGATCCGTAACTTTGGTATTCAGGCATGAAGGAAGCTCAAAACGTTTATTTTCCGCTATCCTGATAAAAACGTTAGCGTAATATGAAGCCTTTTAGATTGTTTTATATATGTTTAGTGTGGTTAATACTAATTTGTATTTCTATCCAAATCTTAGGGTACTCAAATCATGAACGATGAGATTTGCAAACAACATTTTTCTTGGGAGACTTGCTAATATTAAAGTAAATCTTAATGAAACCGGGTGTGGAGGCGTGGGTTGGAATCATCTGGCTCGGGATATGTACCAGCGACGGGCTCTTATGGGTTTCACTAAAGGCTGGGAATTTCTTGGATAGCTGAGAGACTACCAGATGAAGGTACGCGTTAGCTATCACAGCATTCACATACATAAAGAATCTCAGGCAACTTAGCCAGCCGGTATAATGACCTAGATTCAAACCGGGAACCTCCCAAATACAAATCTAGAGAACTCTACCATCCTAAATAAGTGAATACGTGATGGGGAGGGTAGATGTATAGTACAAAGGTTCAATTTCCGAACGTGTGAAAACCAACATTCACACATTACGTTCACAAATCTCATAAGATAAATGCATAATGAGGAGGTTATTACCTTACGCCCCCACGTTTCATCTCCGAAACTTCTTCATGTATTCGAAAAAAAGTTGGTATTCTAGGGGTCTAAGATAAAATTTGTCTGACGAGATTAATTTTCGTTCACATCGGCCCTATTTTACAAGAAGCCCAAATCGAATTAAACCATCTTTAAATGGGAAATAAAGAAATGCATAGTTCATCGAGATCTACAACTTTCGTTTCAATTCAGATTTCGGTACGTGGAACATTTGACGAAATAAAAGAAAATGTAATCGCAGATTATGTTCGGCACGATTAATTTTGCGACAATAAATTCATACCTGCGATATATAAACATGACAAAAGCACGGCTTTGGAAAACATCTGTCCTCCAAACTAAAACAACATCTGTTCACTCTTGTAATAACAAACTTACAAGAAAATTTTCCAGCTATGAGCAGCACAAGAAAAACATTCATGCACTGGGGCGTGTACAATATGGAGAAACTTTCAACAATCTAACTGCCAACACACAAACTGAATATTTATGTCTTTATTGATATTCACAGAGCATCTTACGAAGCCTATAAATGCGTTCACAATAGAGAATGAAAACAACGTCCACTGAAAGTGCTAAGCCATGCTCTGAATTACAATATGTGTTGAGGCAGTCACAGAGAAGTGTGGCTTAGCTTAATGAAATGCATCTAGTTCCCCGAACAAAAATCGAAGGCCGCTAGATCAACGTTGAGGTTTCCCTTTGCCCTCAATACAAATTTCGGAAAGATGGAATATGGCCAAAGATGTCACACCTAATAAGAAGTTGTTGGAAGAAATTATAATGAAGATTATTTTCCTTGCAATGCTTTAAATTGTGTGAGCTAGGCCGAAACAATAACTGGATTAATTTATGTGCATAATTCCCACTGACTGAGAACAGAGATTCTGACCTGGTTAAATTTGCCCGGCATAACCTCAAAGATTCATTCCGTCGCTATGGTTGCAACTGTTATGATGTTAAGAATATATAATCCGTACCCATATTTTATATCCATCTCTTATATAATCCGTACCCATATTTTATATCTATCTCTATGCAAAATTTCACATTACGTAGCTCAGACAATTTATTAATTAGTTATGATTATCAAACCGAAAATTTAATGCATATTTGCAGAGCCGCCATATTGGTTTTATTCATTATAGGACTTTAATAATGGAAACTGTCAGTTATTATGGAAGTATGCTAACAAACGAAGTCGTCTATTTCTTTCTCGAATACCAATCAAAATAAAATTTTGAAGGCAAGATTCCTGAACGTTAAGTTCTATGGCATGGATTGGTAGCTCGTTATACACATATTAATAAAAAATACCTATAAAAAATTTATTACTTGGAAATGACATGAAAGTAAGCAGTTGAAGTAGACATATATCTTAAGACACCATCTCAGACTTATCGACTTACGAAAGCCCTTGGTCCCGGGCCGATATTCGAACCAGAGACCTTCCTAATATGAAGCAAATTGCTATAAGGACAGGCCATATCAGATTAAGAAATTGTTGATTCTCAGGTTATTCGATGACACTGTTTAAACGGCAGAGGGTTAATGAGAATAACCAGGTACCTCCAGTAGTTTTGTCTAGTAAGCAGCTACGCGAGAACCTGTTCGGTTTCCGAGTTCAGGAAATCACCTGATCCGTACCTTGAAAAGGACACAGCATTAGGTAAGCCGTGTCAGACACGGCAAGACACAATATAGATCAAGCCAAGTCGGCGTGAACTACAAGCACTGGGAGGGGAAACTGTTGGTAGACTAACGTAGGCACCTCGATTTTACAGTCGCTGATCACAATCTGCGCCGTCAGTCTGACAGGAGCGCGCACTGCCTGCGCAGACGTGATACAGATTCTGTGCCCTCATGGTATATACCATAAATGTCAGACGCAGGACATGAACACTGTGTCCAAGTAAGTGCCTGTGTTAAAACCGTGGGATGTCAGTGAACGTGTACAAACCATCTGGCAAAACCTGCTACAATTTTAACAGGTAAGATATCTCATTATAATTGCAATCTAACACATTGGTAGTAGAACCTGGAGGTTCGACACCGCTAATAGGCTACAAAAGCCCACTTCCCAAACTCACAGCCCATCTTCGCGATACAAACTTATGCCAAAATTTGGAAAGCACTGCTAGTCTAACTTATCCTGTTCACACTTCCAGTTCATCTTACTCCCTTCGATTTCACAATCCGTTAAATAACATCTCTTTGTTAAAGTTTCGTAAAATTTTTTAGGGAGAACACTACACTCAAGCACCAAGCTGAAGGAACACCCCTTGTCTTCCATCCGCAACTTCCTATACCGGGAAGCAGTCTCCTCTTTTAGCGACCCTAGGGCGCGCCACACCCTAGCGGTAAGGGACACATTTAATGTGAATAATTTATACCACATTCACGTCACACGACTGTTTAATCGGATTTTCGAAACATATGCTTTTGTACTAGAGAAACATCAATGCGCGCGCGGACACCGCATTTAAAGAAATTTCACGATTTTGATACTTCAGTTGGTAGACTTTCAAACACTAAACACGTAAAAACTTTTCAACGGGGTAAAAACTTTCACGTTTCACTACTCCCGTGATTTGTACACGTATTTTCTTAAAAACCGACTTAAACAGAATTTTTTTTAAAAAAAAAAAGTAAAATACTTTTAAAATCACTTTAGTAACAGGCCCTACGTTTTGCCAACCGACGCCTTCATTTTTTAAGCATTTAACTATAAACTGAGTTAAGTTAATATTTACAAAGAAAGTGAAGTTCATTAGAAGTGTATCTTTGAGTACAGAGACCAGTCTTCGCAACAGTTAAAGTTCCGTAGGGGTCCGCGATTTCAAAAATGATTACGATATTATTCTACTGGGTTATGACGCCGTATGGACTGATAGGTAGATAACGACGTTTCGGTGAAACATACTGTCTCGATTTTCAGCCCTGAAGATGGAAACAAGACCGTGACCTATTGGCTATAACTGTTATTTCAAATTTATTACTGTCGCCAGTGTTTATTCAACGGGTGGACATTTAAGTCGTGCCTGTTATTCAGTATCCAAATATTTTTAGATTTCTGGCACTGCAACACTGGCTTTACAAAAACCCAGATTCTATAATTCCCCTTGTGGGAACCTGCCAGACAGCAGGGCTTGTTTAACTGCGCACGATTTCAAACGGCGTTTAGTTTCTTCGAGCGTGTTAAGTGAAAATCATGTTCGTTGTTTCACAATGTTTCGAGATACACGCTGCTCTAATATTTCAAATGGAACAATGCGATGTTTTCACTGACAATACGACGACCGGCGTTGTGTGCATGACTATGTTTCGTGACAAAGAGGACGATTTCACCCCGGCTTTTAGAATATAGACGCAACCACGCACACACCAACGGATCTGTGCTAGACAGCTGTTTTGGAAAGTCTCTAAATTGGTGTAACATGCGTTAAAACGCCCATTTACATATCAGAGCTAGTAAATAAATGTATCTTGCGTAACAACTAAGTGTTTTCATTAAATGGGTACAATACGGAAAAATCCTCGAACCACGCAGCAACCCAAAGAAACTTTGTACGTTGATAGAGGCAGCAAGGACCTCTGAAACGTCGGTAAACTTCTACCAGACTGACTTAAAACGGCGCAACAATCCAGAAGACGTCCATCTTCCGTCACTAAACAGTAGTAAGTGCGGTGAACTTCAAAATTCTCGCCTTACAAGTTTAAACGCGCATTCTAGCATCTCCGCTGCGCCTTGAAACATTAAAGTCATTTCAGTACTATTACCTCATTCCGCGGAATGTCTTCGAATTATACACAAGTAAACCAGCGGTCAGAACGCTGGGCTTGTAACCCTGTGGTGTCCATATGCCAGCGATGGGTGTTATGAATCGTTCAACAAACAGAAAAACTTGAATCAGTGAACGTACATAAAGGAGAGCATCCATTTACCTGTAATTTATTATATACATCACAAGAATACGGATGCCCCCCGCCATGGTACGCCTCATGTACCTGTAAGACCAGGCGAAAACTACGTGGTCCTACGTAAGCGATAACAAGCGAGCATAAGCAGCATGGGGTGTCATATGAAGCTGGGAATCGCGTGTTGTTTCCTACGTGAGAGACCGCAATAGAAGCACACGGCCTTCCTGCGCATGCGCCTTCCGTGTACTGTACCGTCAGAGCTTTCTTGCGCATGCGCCTTACTGGCCAGCGCAGCGACTCGCACGAAAATATCAAAATATTTGATCTCGGACTTTTTCCGCTGACCGCTTCGCTGTAACCTAGGACAGCGCCACACAAACAGCCAGTTTGATATTTCCGCTTCTCCCGCGCAATTCCCATTTAATCGCTCACGTAGGACAGCGGGTGAGTTGTGACACATTTTACTAGATCCACATGCGATGAATTTCGGGAACAGAGATCGAACGAATCTAGTTCTCTAAACATTAGTTTTAATTTTAAAAAGAAAATGAGACATAATTCCAGCATCTTGAACAGCGAACACTTCACACTCGGAGCGTTTCATAAGTTAATTTATCTACTTTTCTTTCCTTTATTTATGAACGTTTTATCAACTTCATTGGTCATACAGCGTCAAATTCGAGCACGTTCGTAAAAAAACCCACGGACTGATAGGATCGAGCCCGGGACCTCCTGATAACGAAACACGATTACTTATTCGTCTACCGCCACTTTTGGTTCCAAATTTAAAATAAAAAGGCCAAAATGTTCCTACCAAAAATTTAAGAACGCCATTTGCAAATTGGTTGGATAAAGATTTTCTTCTATCAGAACTGCTTCTTGACGTGAAGTTCGCCAAGCTCCTGCATCTGGTGCCGAGATTAATAATACGTGGAGCTAATAGGCTGCTCCCTCATACGTCCTCACGGCGTGGTGAGTGCGGAAGCCATTATTAGCCGAATGTCTTTCGGCCGGCAGTGCTCAGGAATGGTTTAAAGTGGCGAACGTTATCCATGGCAACAGTGATGGTACGTCGCGGGGTGGAACCGTTTTGGGGTCATATTTGCAAGCGTATTTCTCGGTTTTTTAGGTCATGAACATCCGAACCCTAATCATTAGTTTCAATATACATATTTCCAGATTCCATATATTACGTTCGGGAATATAGTTCTTTTTGATTTTTCACCGACCATGGTGAATGGTGGGCGTTGGCCACAACTGAGAACTCGCTATTAAATAACAATGACATCTGATATACAGGTATTACGTCTACAAAGCAGCTGTTATGCTCTACTTTCACTAAACAACTAAAAGGTCCAATAAAACGTAATTCCAGTATACAACCAGTCACGTCAGACTCGCTTATTTTTTAACTTCGTAGGGGCACGTGAATGTTCGGTCGTGCGGTCGCCTTCCTTTCACCTCTCAAATTAAATTCTGCTATTTCAAATGCAGCTGGACTCATTAAATAAAATCATACAGAATTTAATTCAAAGTTTGTAAAACGAAAACAGCGCTACGTACGAAACATCTCTACTGCTCGCTAGTAAGGAGCAAAAACTATACTGTGATGGAGAAGAGGTTGTGAACTCGAGTCTTTTGACCTTCACAAAACGTTGTGGTGACTCGAATGAAAGAAAGTAAAACATTTTGAGATCACGCTTTCAAGAAGTACCGTGATGAGGGCAGTAGACACATAATAAGTGGCACGATGCAGAAAAAGGCTTGCTACATTACTACGAGGTGCGATCGGAAAGTTTCAAGACTGTGTCAATAGAGGGGCGAACCGGATGTAGTACGAGCTTCTGCCGCTAGGGGTTGCGGCCTACATTCATAGTGAATTAGTGTGCCAGCCGGCATCATCGAATTAGCATTTGTTTCTTAGTTACGGGCGTTTTTGTAGTGCATTACACCGACCTTCCTGCGATTTCGGAATGGCGTGTGCATCAAATTTTGCCAAAGACTCGCCAAAACGGCTACGGAAACCTATGAAATGCTAAAGCAAGCATCTGGGGAGTCCGCAATGGGTCGTGCACAAACTTTTGTGTGGCATTCACGTTTTAAAAATGGCCGAACCTCACATGCGACGCATCGCAGCCAAGTTTGTGCCAAGGTTCCTGTCTGAGGACCAGAAGCAGAATCGCCTTGACTTCTCGTTTGTCAGGAGCTCCAAGATCTTGCAAGAACCGACCCCAACTTCCTTTCTAAGCTCTGTGTGACTTCTTCCTCTTCCCAAAGATGAAAATTCAGCTAAAGGTAAGGAGATTTGAGACGATAGAAGAGCTTCAGGCAGAATCGCAGATGGTGCTTGACAGGCTGGCAAAGAAAGATTTCCAGGGATGCTTCCAGGCTTGGCAGCGGCGCTGGGATCGTTGTGTTCACTCCCAGGGGAACTACTTCGAGGGTGATGGATGAATTTAATACCTGAGATAAGTGTACGGGTTTTTATAGGCGCAGTCTATAAACTTTCCGATCGCACCTCGTACGTCACCCTACGTCTATACGGGCGAGAGGTGACGAAGAGAAGACGTACTTTCGGCGCTGGTCGCTCCAACGCTCAGGAATGGGCGGTGCACCCACGGAAGACTGTACATGTCTAATGATTTCATAGACCCACGTACACGTATGCAATGTTGGTAACGACATCCTTTCAATTTTAATATCACACAAAACTATTAAATCGTATAGACAGTTCAGTCAAGCGACTGGCTGGACGTACGGAGTTCCACGTGAGAAACGAGCAGACATCCAGACCGGCTCTGGGGTCCACACGGCGGGGAGAGTTCCTCATGGGGTAAAGCGACCGAAGCGTGAAGCCGGCCACTCACCTCTACGAAATGTCAAGGTATAGAATACGTGGAGCTTCACCTCCACTCCCCCGTCGTGCTTAAGTGCAGGGATAAGTTTAAGGGTTGTGAATAAACATGTTTAGTCGCAGAATAATAATAAGGCAACTGTTGTTTTGCCAATTGCAGATGTGAAGAATACGCACTTCCCCATTTGTATCCACTTTGCCAACCGTGATATCTAA